AAGAAAGAAAGAAAGAAAGAAAGAAAGAAAGAAAGAAAGAAAGAAAGGGAAAGGAAGGGAAGGAAGGAAAGGAAATTAATGGATGAAGTAGGGGAGGGAGGGAAGGAAGGAAGGAAGGAAGAAAGAAGGAAAGGAAGAAAAGGAAAGAAAGGAATGAAGGAAAGAAAGAGGGGAAGGAGGAAGAAAAGGAAGGAAAGAAAGAAAGAAAGAAAGAAAGAGGGGAATGAGAAAAGAAAAAGTAAGAAAGTGGGGAAGGGGAAGAAAAAGAACGAAAGAAAGAGGGGAAGGAAGGAGAAAGAGGGGAAGGAAGGAAAAAAAAGAATGAAAGAAAGAGGAAAGGGAAGGAGAAAGAGGGGAGTGAGAAAAGAAAAGAAAGAAAGAGGGGAAGGAAGGAAGAAAAAGAACAAAAGAAAGAAAGAGGAGAAGGAAGGAAGGAGAAAGGGCAAGGAGGAAAGAAAAAGAAAGAAAGAAAGAAAGAGGGGAAGGAGGAAAGAGAAAGAAAGAAGGAAGGAAGGAAAGAAAGAGGGGAATGAGAAAAGAAAAAGAAAGAAAGAGGGGAAGGAAGAAAAAGAACGAAAGAAAGAGGAGAAGGAAGGAAGGAGAAAGAGGGGAAGGAGAAAAGAAAGAGAGAGGGAGGGAGACGGGAGGGAAGGGCCAGATGCCCACGCAGAGCCCCCACGGGGGAGGCCAGAGGGGCGCCCCTTCCCCAAACCCTCCCCCCCGCGGAGCAACCGCGCCCCCTCCCCGTCGCCCCCCCCCCCCCCCCCCGCCCCCCCCCCCCCCCCCCCCCCCCCGGGGCCGGAGCGGCGCTCCTTCCCCATGAGGAGGAGGGTCTCCCTCGCCCCCCGCCCGCCCTTTGTCCGCCGCCGCTCACCTCCGCCGCCGTTGCCGAGGCCGCCGCCGCCGCCGCCTTCGGCCCCCGTTGCCAAGGCGACGCGCGCCGCCGCTGTCAATCACCGGGCCCCGCTCAGGCCCGCCCCCCGCCCCCCCCGCCCCCCCCCGCTGGCGTGGCAGCGTCGCTCTGCCTGCGGACTACGGCTCCCGGCCTGCAACGCGGCGGAGGGAGGGAGGGAGGGAGGGACGAAAGGAGGCGGGGAGCTCTCCCTCTCTGGCCCCGCCTCTCTTGCCCCGCCCACACCCCGCCCCCTTAACAGCTGTCGGCAGCCATGCCCGAAGATGACGGACGTGGTGGTGCTGGAGGGGCAGCTCAAGTGGCGGGAGGGGAAGAAGGTACCCGGGAGGGGGGAGGGGAAGGGAGGGCGGAGGGAGGGGGGTCGGGGGTCGCCCTGGGACGCTGCTAACCCCCCCACGTCTCTCTCTCTGCCCCCCCCCCTCCAGTGGAAGAGCCGGTGGCTGGTCCTGCGCAAGCCGTCTCCTGTGGCCGGTGAGTCCCCTCCAAGCAGAGAAAGAAAGAAAGAGGGGAAGGAAGGAAGAGAAAGAAAGAGGGGAAGGAAGGAAGAGGGAAAGGAAGGAGGGAGGAAAGAGGGAAGGAAGGAAGGAAGGAAGAGAAAGAAAGGAGGCGAAGGAAGGAAGAGGGAAAGAAAGGAGGAAAGAACGGAAGAGGGATTGAAGGAAGGAAGAGGGGAAGGAAGGAAGAGGCTGAAGAAAGGAAGGAGGAAAGAAAGAAAGGGGAAGGAAGGAAGAAGGAGAGGGAAGGAAGGAAGGAAGAAAAAAGAAAGTGGAAGCAAGGAAGAAGGGAAGGAAGGAGGAAAGAAAGAGGGGAAGGAAGGAGGGAAGAAAGAAAGAGGAAGGAATAGGGGAAGGAAGGAAGAAAGGGGAAGGAAGAGGGGAAGGAAGGAAGGGCTTTCCTGGGCTTTCCTGGTGGCCTCCCATCCCCACGACCTTCCGCTCATTCGCTACCCGTGCAGAAGTGAGACCCCCCCGGCGGACTGGGACAGCGGCTGCAGCTTTTGGATGGCCCCTTTTTTTCTGCCTGCCTGAGAGTGGGAGGGGAGCAAGGGTCCGGCTCGGAGGGAGGGAGGGGCACCCATGCAGTCCCTGCATCTGGGGGGGGGGGGTGAATCTCCAGGAGGAGGGGGACCCTGGGAGGTCATGGGGACTCCCCTCCTTGGCTGACCTGGTTGGGCAGGGATGTGGCTCAACGGGTGGGATTCTGCCCCTCCACTTGCCCCGCCACCTCCCCGTCCCCCCCCCCTCAAACAATACTTGAATTGGTTAGATGAATCCAGGTACTCCTTGACTTACAACGTTTCATTTAGCAACCGTTCGTAGTTGCAAGGAAAAAATGACTGGGGGCCGTTTGTCACACTTAACAACCATCACGACCTCCCCTGTGATCGTGTGATCAAAATTTAGGCGCTCGGTAACCAACTCGGTAACCTACGACGGCCGCAGTTGCAGCCAAATCAACGGGGAAACCCAATTCCCTTAACAACTGGGTCGGCTCCCTTAAACCACGGTCGCGATTCCCTTAACGGTGGCGTGAAAGGTCGTAAAGTGGGCAAAGCTCGCTTAACAAAACACTTCATTCAGCCACCCTGAATCTTGGGCCCGTCGTAGCTCGAGGGCTGCCTGTAGTATGAGCAAGGGATACTATCTCTGCCTATTTTAATTTGGATTATTCTCATCACATATCGCAGGGCTGATGTATAGGCCATTCTGTAATTCCTATAACCGTGTTGGCAAACCTATGCCATGCATGCTGGAAGTGGCACAGGGAGCCATTTCCCCCGGCACGTGAGTGGTCGCCCTGAAGATACCCACTGTGCATGTGCGTGCACCGCCGCCCAACAGCTGTTTGTTGGGTATCTGGCGCGCATGTGCAGGCAGCGGAGGGGGTGCGCGGGAGACTTGCGCGCATACACAGATGCACTATGCATGTGGAGGGCCCAACACACATTGCCTTCTGGGTGCTGGCATGCGAACGCACGCAACTGAGCGCGTGCACAATTATCAGCACGGGAGCTGAAAAAGGTTCCCCACTACTGTCCTATAACAATCTGAATCCTCAAAGCCTAAATCTCCCATAACAACCAGGTGATGTGACGTACATTTCAAAGATGCTTGTAATTGTTTAAAGAATGGTTGTTGCTCCTAGGGAGGAAAACTGGCTGTTCTAGGCTTCGTCAATTGTAATTATTCACAAACTTGTTTTAAAAGCAAAACCTATTTTATTGCAACGCTGGGAATTGTTTCCATTCCCAGCTGGAATTAATCTCAAATAGTCCCCCGAGATAAGCACCCAACTTTCAGTTCTGTGGAATGCTGCTAAAAACAGAAGTTTCCAATGAACTAGAAAAGAAACCAACCGAAGTAAACAGGGCTTCACGGAGGACTCTGAACCGATCGAACTACTTTGCTTCCTGCACAGGTTTCGTCATCTTGGCCTGACTTTTAACCCTTATGGGAGGGACAATCACCTCCCAGCCTTACTCCCGAGTCATCCCTTTTGTCTCAGCCGTTCTTGCCTTCTAGCAGCTCTGCGCACACATGCACTGGGAACAGGCTCCCCTGGTTCCTCTGCCTCGCTGCTGCCAGATTCCGGAGGCTCCAGAGGCAGCACCCCACTCCCAGATGGTCCTGGCCCCATCTCTGCATTGGATGCAGAACCCTCGTCCGAGTCCTCTCCAGATTCCCTGACTGGTCCCCTTTCTTTCCCACTGTCTGATTCCGCTACCGTCTGCACCGTCTGCCAGTGGCAAATCTAGACTGCACACTAAAAAGCAGAGGCATCACCCTACCAACACAAGTGTGTGGCGTCAAGGCTATGGTTTTCCCAGTTCCAATGTATGGCTGGGAAAGATGGACTATAAGGAAGGCTGAGTGCCAAAGAGTGGAGGTTCTTTGAACTCAGGTGCTGGAAGAGGAGACTCCTGCGAGTCTCTTGGACTGCAAGGCCATCAAACCGGTCAGTCCTAGAGGAGATCAACCCTGACTGCTCTTGAGAAGGCCAGATCCTGAAGATGAAACTCAGACTTTGGCCACCTCATGAGAAGGAAGGAAGGACTCCCTGGAGAAGAGCCGAATGCTGGGAAAGATTGGGGCAATAGAAGAAAGGGTAGGCAGAGAAGGAGGAGGCTGGATGGAGTCACTGAAGCAGTCGGCGTGAGCTTAAATGGGCTCCAGAAGATGGTAGAGGACAGGAAGGCCTGAAGGAACGTTGTCCATGGAGTCGCGATGGGTCGGGCACGACTACAACAACAAATTTAATGAAAAGAAGGATTAGAAGTGACATGATAACAGTCTTCCAATATTTGAGGGGCTGCCCCAAAGAAGAGGGAGTCAAGCTATTTTCATGAGCAGGGGGTTGGACTAGAAGACCTCCAAGGTCCCTTCCAACTCTTGTTATTCTGTGAAGCCTAACAAAGAAGAACAAGGCTAGGCATTTTATTGCATATCCAAATGCACCTTTTGTCTCTGTAATACAAAAGTTGGCATAACATTCGGGGGGACAAGGGGAACAGATCAGGGATGGGATTCAAAAATCAGTCAACCGGTCGCTGGGTGGGCATAGCCACGGTGTGTGCTTTTTGCCTTCCCCACAGTCCGGAGGCTTCCCTTGGGCCTTTGGGAGCGTGAAAACGGCCTCACCTGGGACTCAGAGGCCCTCCGGAATCCGGAAACAGGCCCGTTTCCGGACTTCTGGAAGGCCCATTTTTCGCCCTCCCAGCCTCTACGCGGACGCTGCACTTACTTGCATTCAAAAAGGGCTGTGTGGAGACGCGGGAGGGGAGGGGAGGGGAGGGGTGGGTGGGGCCAGCCAGTCGGTTCAACTACCGGTTCAGCAAACCAGATGTAAATTTAACAACCGGTTCATTCGAACCAGTCTGAACCGGCTGAATCCAACCCCTGGAAGAGATGCGAGAGATGGGGAACAGACAAGCAAGAGAGGTAGGAGCCTCCGATGGATTTGGGTGGCAGGGCAGGCAGGAATTCTGGGGTCTCTAGATGACCTGAATGGCTGAGGGGCAGGTTCTGGGTCTTCTCTTGGAGCTCCAGAGTTGGGTTTGAGGGCCGTTCTCTCTCTCTCTCTCTCTTTCTGCCAGACTGTTTGCTCCTCCTGGTGTACAAGGAAAGGTCTGAATGTCTCCGAGGGCTGAAGGAGCGGAGCAGCGTGACCTTGGAGGACATCTGTGGCTTGGACCCCGGGCTTTGCTACGAGGGGCTGACCCACACCCTGGGCATTATCTGTCTCACCCAGGTGGTGATGCTGGGCTTTGAGAGCAAGGAAACCATGCACACCTGGGATGCGCACATCCGCTACAGTTTAGGAGAAGGTAAGTTGAAGGAAGGAAGGAAGGAAGGAACGAAGGAACGAAGGAAGGAACGAAGGAAGGAGGCAATAGCAGTAGCACTTAGACTTATACACCGCTTCACAGTGCTTAACAGCCTTCTCTAAGCAGTTTACAGAGTCAGCCACTCGCCCTCAACAATCTGGGTCCCTGTTTTACCAACCTCGGAAGTATGGAAGGCGGAATCAACCTTGAGCCAGTCAGGATCAAACTGCTGGCAATCGGCAGAGTTAGCCTGCAATACTGCATTCTAACCATTGGGAGGGAGGGAGAAAGGAAGGCTGAGTCAATCTTGAGCTGGTCAGGATTGAACTGCTGGAAGTTGGCAGAATTAGCCTGCAATATTGCATTCTAACACTAGGGAAAGAGGGAGGAAGGCTGAGTCCACCTTGAGCTGGTCAGGATCGAACTTCTGGCAGTCAGCAGAGTTGGCCTGCAATACTGCATTCTAGCCACTAGGGAGGAAGGGAGGGAGGAAGGAAGGAAGGAGGGCAGGCTTAGTCAACCTTCAGCCAGTCAGGATCGAACTTCCTGGCTGTGGGCAGAGTTTACCTGCAATACCGCATTCTAACCCCTGTGCCAACAGAGCTCTTAAAAAATTAAAAGAGCAGGCAAAAGTGGATGAGGAGGAGGAGGAGGATGGCAATTGCACTTAGACTTCCTTGAGCCAGTCTGGATCAAACTCCTGGCTGTGGCCAGTGTCAGCTTGCAATACCGCATTCTAACCACTGCACCACCACAGCTCCCTACAGGTATCTACAGATTAGAATGATGCTGTTAGAAGCAAAGATGCTGGTTGACTCAAAGGGCAGTAGGTAGAGTAAAGCTATTTCAATGAAAAGCTGAATCCCTTGGGTTTGTTCCTCCCACCAGTCCATCGATTTCATGTCGTGGTAGCACCTGGAACCAAACTGGAAAGTGGCCCAGCGACTCTTCACTTCTGCAACGACATCCTGGTATTGGTGAACGATGTCCCACCGGTCATCATGGGACAGTGGAAGCTCTCGGACCTTCGGCGCTATGGAGCCGTTCCTAATGGATTTGTTTTTGAAGGCGGGACACGATGCGGCTTCTGTGAGTATTCGCCATTCCAGGATACCATGTTTCCCCCAAAATAAGACCCTGTCTTATATATTTTGCCACCAAAAAAAGGCACCAGGTCTTATTTTCGGGGGATGCCATCCACTGACTAACCACACTTGCGCGTGTTGCCCCTGGCCTCCTTTTCGCTGTCAGAGGCCTTCAGGAACCTCTGCGGCCGGCAAGGCTTTCCTGAAGGCCTCTGCAGCCAATAACAGAGCTCTGGATCGATCCTGAGCTTTTGTTATCAGCTCCAGAGGCCATCAAGAAAGCCTTGCCAGCCTTGCCAGCTGCAGAAGAAAAGGGCCGGCATGGCAGGTATCGGGGTGTGCGAGGCCTGGCTACAAATGTCCAAAGGTAAATAGTAGGGCAGCTCCACTCCTCCATCCCCATCCTAGCTTAATTTTTACCCATCTACTCTGGAGTGGGTAGGATCTTAATTAGGGCTTATTTTTTGGGGGGTAGGGCTTATATTGGGCGCACGTGTAAAAAAAATCAAGCTAGGGCTTACTTTCAGGGTAGGTCGTATTTTTGGGGAAACGGGATTTGTTTTTACTCTGAGTTTAGAGGAAAAAAGAACAGCGAATCCAACAGGTTAGAGAAGCCAGCCCACGAAAGTTTTTTTCTGGACTGCTGGGAAGCCCTAGCAAGAGAATGTGACCAAAAGAAAACAATGGGGGAATTCATCCTTTCAACAGCCCTAATTCTAAAATGTAAAGAAAAGTCTAGCTTTTAAAAAAAATAATTATTTTTAAAGTGTTTGGATTTCACCATTAAAACAAGTAGAGATCTTGCTTGCAAATGGCATTTTCATTTAGAAGTTGTGGAAACTACAGCTATTCCTTGACTTACGGCCATAACAGAGCCCCAAATGTCTACTGTTCAGTGAGACATTTCTTAATTGAGCTTTGCCCCGTTTTGCAGCCTTTCCTGCCCCTGTTGTTAAGTGAATCACTGCAGATGTTCAGTTAGTAGCGCCATTTGTTAAGTGAATCTGGCTTCCCCATTAACTCGGTTAGTCAGACGGTTGCAAAAAGGGGATCGTGTGATTTCCCCCCCCAAGACTTTGCCACCGTCGTAAGTATGAGTCAGTGGCCAAGCATCTGAATTTTGATCAGGTGACCGTGAAGATGCTACAAATGTTGTAACTGTGGAAACCCATCATAAGTCACTTTTTTCAGTGCTGCTGTAACTTTGAAGAGTCACTAAATGGTCACTCTCAAGGACTACCTGTAATTGTGATGGAGAATCCTTCAACTCCTGAAGCAGTCTACCCCTCTTTTCAACAATTCTTACCTATTGGGATTTTTTTTTTTTGCTAATATCTAATATCTACCCTATTTCCCCGAAAATATGACCTACCCTGAAAGTAAGTCCTAGCTTGATTTTTATATGTGTGCCCAATATAAGCCCTACCCCCCAAATAAGCCCTAATTAAGATCCCGCCCACTCCAGAGTGGAAGGGTAAAAATTAATCTAGGGTGGGGATGGGGTGGCGGTGGAGCTGCCCTACTACTTACCTTTGGACAGGTGTAGCCAGGCCTCACACACCCCGACACCTGCCTGGCTGGCCCATTTCTTCTGCAGCTGGCAAGGCTGGCAAGGCTTTCTTGAAGGCCTCTGTTTACTTTACTTTTACTTTACTTTTACTTTTACTTTTACTTTTACTTTTACTTTACTTTTACTTTTACTTTTACTTTTACTTTACTGTCATTGCATCTCGTACAACAAAATTAAGCACCATCTTCAGTGTACATTATGATGATGAAAATAAACACACACACGCATCCTTCACATTCTATACATGAACTGAAAACACCTGATACTGCATGAATATTGCACTATTATACAGTAGAATCCAATAGAATTACTTGCCCTGGGATAGAAGCTGTTGGTAATAGTTCAAAAAAAGGGTGCCCAGGGTGAGATGGATCTTTGAGAATGTTTTGAACTTTCTTAAGGCAGCGGGAGCTATGAAGCTCTTCCAAAGAGGGGAGAAGGCAACCCATGATGCTCTGGGCAATGATGTTAACCCTATGGAGTGCTGTCCTATCTGCCACTGTGCAACTGGCAAACCAGACAGAGGTGCTGTAAGTTAAGATACTCTCTATGGTGCAGCGGTAGAAGGTCACCAGCAGTTTTTCATTCAGTTGTTCTTTTCTGAGAAGCCTCAGGTAGTGTAATCTCTGCTGGGCCCTTTTGACCAGGGCTGCAATGTGAGCACCCCAGGTCAGATCATCTTTTAGGGTAACACCCAAAAACTTAAAACTGCCCACTTGATCCCCTCAGTCTCCCTTGATAAGCAAGGGCTGGAGGTCTGATCTGTTCCTTCTATATAGTCCACTATCAGCTCCTTGGTCTTATTGGAGTTGAGGACCAAGTTATTGTCTCCGCACCACAAAAGCAACTGTTGGTCCATCTCATCTCAGTAGGCAGACTCATCCCTTCCCCGGAGATTAGTCCCACCGCTGTTGTATCATCTGCAAATTTAATAATAGTATTACTGCTCTGTAGCTGATAACAAAGCTCCGGATCGATCCAGAGCTCAATTATCGGCTGCAGAGGCCTTCAGGAAAGCCTTGTCGGCTGCAGAAGAAGAAGTTCTTGAAGGCCTCAGACAGCCAAAAGGAGGCCGAGGGGGGCAACCCATGCAAGTGAAGTTAATCAGTGGATGACGTCCTCTCCCGAAAATAAGACCTTGTGCCTTTTTTGGTGGCAAAAAAATATGTAAGGTCTTATTTTTGTAGAATCCCTCCTTCCTCTTCCTATCCCCTGGAACAGCTCTGGAGAGGTCTGCTTGCTTTCTCTCTTCTTTGGCATTTTGATAGTTCTGTTCGTCTTATACCAGCTTGATGAAGAAGGGTGGACTACAAGTCCCAGAGTTCCCCGGATAGCGTGGGATTTGGGGAGTTGAAGCCCACACATATTCAAGCTGCGGAGGTTGACAGTCGCTGGTTTCAACAGAAGGAGAAGTTTCAAAGCTCGATTTCCCATTGATACTGTGGGAACCTCTTATTTCTTCCTTTTTTTATGTTATGTTTATTTTAATCCCCCTAAAGTAAGGAGTGTCGTTGTTGTTTTTCTAACCAATCATAGATATTTGATTATGCTGTAAATATATTTCGCCCGATGTTTTTCAAGCTTTCAGCACATTCACGGTAGACTAACACGCATAAGAGAGAAGACCTGATGTCAATCAGAATAGAGTTGGAAGGGACCTTGGAGGTCATCTAGTCCAACCCCCTGCTCAAGCAGGAGACCCTAAACAATTCCAATAAACAGACTCTAGGCACCTAGAGTCCCATGATGGGAGCCCCTTGTAAATAAATCAACGAATGTGCTTGATTTGTTATATGATAATCTATGCATATTATAATCTTGCATATTATAATCTAAATATGCAAATGCTGAATGCATGGCAGGGAAATGCATATATAAAGAAGGGATTTTTTTAAAAAATCATTTATGGTAGACATGTGATAAAACAAAGAAACATTGGAGCAGATTCTTGAAAGTGAATATAAAGATAAAACCAGATTTTTTTCTTCTGGGTTTTATGGAAAAAGACTTGGGGCAATTTGGAACATGAATGCTATATAGCTTGATGACAGCTAGATTACTTTATGTACAAAAATGGAAGGACACTTTGATTCCCACAATAGACAAACAGCTGTCCAAGCTGGTGGGAGTTAGCAGAGAGGGCTAAAGGGAAAAAAAAAAACCCACACAATTAATTTTGTTTCTCCTTGGAAACCACTTCTGGACTTTGTGCTTAAGGTGGGGGGAAAATGAATATTTGATTTTGGGTTTTACCGATCTGATAGATCTTTTGTTATAAAAATGTCTAGTCTATACTATTACGTAAAAGTAAAAAGGTGAGGTTTGATGTTGTTCTACTGAATAAGTCAGAAGTCAACACTTTTATTTTCATTTTCCCTTCTTTTCTACACTTTCCCCTTCCCTTTACCCTCCCCTGTTTTTCCTATTATTCGCTTTTATAGTATTGCATTATATATTATCTATATAAGCGAAATACCATTCATACATCATCACAAAATCTCCAGAACCGTAAAGCCTACAAACTTGAAATTTGGCACCTATGTTCCTCTTGGCTTCTAGGTGCTCACTAAGAAAGGGTTTTTCAAAATGACCATCAGAGCATTAGTATTTCCTCGATTATTATTATTATTAGATTATTATTACTATTAACACGCTCTGATGCTAAGGAGTTCTCCTCCCCCTCCTCACCTGAAAAGGAATCTGTTCCAAATGCAAAACACATGCAGAGGAGAGGAGTTTCAGTTTCAGTTTTAGTTTCACAGCAGCAACCAGCTTTAGCATAGAACAGTTGAGCTAAGCCACGCCCAGGCTCCTTGCTGTCTCCTTGCTCACACAGCAAATACCGTTTCAGTTTCCAAACAGCCCTCAACTCTCCCACACACCGACAGGACATTAGCCAGGTAAATACTGATGGATGTTGGTAGGCAGATGCACATTTTTTTTCTCCTTACTTTGCTCCCCAAAAACTAAGCCCAACCACATAGTTTTGCAGAGAAGCACAGGTATCGAGCTAGTAAACTAATAAAAAGGATCAACATTTGATAAAGCAGTCAATCAATCAATCAATCAAACACTGAATGCATAGCAAGTGTAAATGTTTTGCTCTTTTTCAGGGGCCGGAGTCTTTTTCCTCTCATGCACGGAAGGAGAAAAAATCAGCTTTCTCTTCGACTGTATTGTTCATGGCATCTCTCCAACCAAAGGCTTCCGGCGTGCGCTAGCAGGTTAAGACTTGGAACCCCCACAGGGATGGGGTGATAAGCAAAGCTGAGCAAGGGGGTGGACTAGAAAACCTCCAAGGACCTTTCCAACTCTTGTTAATTCTACTCTACTCTACTCTACTCTACTCTACTCTACTCTACTCTACTCTACTCTACTCTACTCTAGCCTAGCCTAGCCTAGCCTAGCCTACCCTATCCTACTCTATTCTACCCTACCCTACCCTACCCTACCCTACCCTACTCTTCCCTACCCTACCCTACCCTACTCTACTCCTATGCTTTGGGGTGATAAGCCAAGTTTGTCCACTCTAAATAACTAAACCCCGATATTTAGGTATTTAGAAAGAGAAAAAAAGAGAACCTCACTGGATAAAAGTAAGCTTTGGTAAGGCCATTCTTGAAATACTGCACCCCGTTTTGGTTGCCATCGTGTAAAAAAAGATGTTGAGACTCTAGAAAGAGTGCAGAGAAGAGCAACAAAGAGGATTAGGGGGCTAGAGGCTCTAAAGGATACGATGATGCGATGAACAGTTGCAGGAACTGGGCCTGGCTAGTCTAGGGAAGAGAAGGACCAAGGGTGACATCATAGCAGAATATTCCAATATCTCAGGGGCTGCCCCAAAGAATAGGGTAGAACAAGAAGCAAGGGGTGGAAACTAATCAAGGAGAGGAGCAACCTAGAACTAAGGAGAAATTTCCTGACAGTGAGAACAATTAACCAGAGGAACGACTTGCCTCCAGAAGTTGTAAATGCTCCAACACTGGAAGTTTTAAAGAAGAGATTGGACAACCATTTGTCTGAAATGGTGTAGGGTTTCCTGCCTAGGCAGGTGGCTGGACTAGATGACCTCCAAGATCCCTTCCAACTCTGTTATTCTATTCTATTCTACTCTACTCCTATTCTACTCTACTTGTATTCTATTCTACTCTACTCCTATTCTACTCTACTCCTATTCTATTCTACTCTACTCCTACTCCTACTCTACTCCTACTCCTACTCTACTCTACTCTACTCTACTCTACTCTACTCTACTCTACTCTACTCTAAAAATGTCCAGTTCATAACCCAAGGGTTTAAGACAGTGTTCCCGAATCTTTCCAGCTTTGTGGACTGATGGGGAAGGGGGGGAGGGAGAGGGGATGGCTCCCCATGAGTAGTTGGCAAGCACTCTATGCATGTAGCTCCATTTGTGCGAGTGGCGGGCCCGCGCACGCACAGCTCGTGCCAGTGGGGATGCACGCATACACACATGCCTGTTGCTTCCAGGGCCCGGTTGTGAATGGTTCATGGCCCGGTCATGGGCCGAGGCTCGGGGATTGTGGGGGCCCTGGTGTAAGAGCTAAATGTCACCCTTTTGTGATATACCATTAACTCCATTCAGCAAGTTTGGGCTTGGTCTTCTGACCATCCTGGGATCAGCCAGAGCTGAGCTGGACCTGCCAGGCTGTCCTTCGACTGTGTGTTAAGATTTATCCCAGCCTGTCTCATTGACTTCTCTCTCTCTCTCTCTCTCTCTCTCTCCCTTCTCGAAGACCCCAACCCGAGTCCCGCCTGCACAGAAGAAAGGGTGGCCTACGAGGCTTCCAAGTTGGAGAAGCGCCTCAGCCTGCTCTCCCACAGCGGCTGCCATGGCAGCGGAGGTAATGTCTTGCCCAGCCCTTATTTCTCCATCCCAGGAATTTGCTTTTACAGCTGAGCCGGAGAAACCGAACCACTTGGCTGCTCTGGATCCTTCAGGGCAGGGGTGGGATTCAACTGGTGTAACAACCGGTTTGGTGAGTGTGCGCACAGCATTTGAAAACCGCCCATTTGGGGCTCTAAAACTTACCTTCTGCTGCAGCTCCGGTGAGTAAAACAGCTGAGGCGCCGAGTGAATCGGCTGGCCTGCAAAACATGGACATATAGGACAGGCTAGACCAGTGGTCGCCAACCAGTAGGCCGTGAGAAAATTTTGGTGGGCCACAGAGAAATCTCACCCCCAGAGTACCCCCGCAAAGCAATTAATCCAGGCTGCGCAGAAACACAAGGCTGCGCCGCCCACATGGCCTGCGGGAACCCTCCCCGCCCACTCACTCCTTACCCGGCAAACTTGCCTGCTAAAATGCTATTTTTCCTTTTTCCGACCATCATCTGTTCTGCTGTGCTGGGAGACTTAGATTAGCTAGAAAGCAGGAAATGGTTGCATTTCTTGCTTTCTAGCTAGTCTTTAGATCTTCGGCTCTACTTTTAAGCATAGCCGAACCTCCCTTAGGACTGAAGGTTCTATTATTCAGTGCAGACTCACGGCAAACAAATTTTATGTGACAGACTGAGCTAGCCGATGGCAGAGAGATAGATCTCTGAATGATTCCGTGAGCAACTCAATCTGCCTGCCTGCTTTGCCTGAGTTTGGCTAAAAGTTGCTCTTTTTTTATAAAAAATGCAATATTTATATAAATATAATATTTACGTACAAGCCATGCCCAGCCAATCACAGGACCACCAAGCAACACCCACAAATTAGGCCACAACCACAGAACCGGTCCCTGGGATTTAAAATTATGAGTTTGGTAGTCCCTGAGGTCCAAAAGTTTGGTGCCCCCTGGACTAGAGCAGGGGCGGTTAGGCGGGCCAACTCATTGCCGGAACTACCGGTTCACTCGAATCAGTCCGAACCGGCTGAATCACATCCTTGCAAGGAGAATGAAGCTGTGCTTCAGATGACCGCTCTCTCCGTGCCTAGCTGGTCTTGAAAACGCCACCAGACTTCTGCTTGTTCTCGGGCAAGGATGGGAAGGAATTTGGGTTGTGCCACGGAGTAGAAGCAGGAAGGAGCCAGGTCCAAAATAGGAATAGAGTCACATTAATCCTGTGTCCCTTTTTCCTTCAACCAGGGGATGACCGGAGCTTGTCCAGTGCATCCTCGGACACCAGCCACTCTGATGCCAGCTTCGGGAGCAGGTTGACTCTCTGGCCCGAGCAGTCATCTGCCGGCACTTCCCAGGAGTCTCGCGGACCAGCGGCAGCAGCAGCAGCAGCAGAGAAGCTGCAATCAGACGGAGCCCAGGGGGCCGGCAAGCTGCCCCCCAGCCTCCTGCGCTCCAGGCAGCTCCAAGAAATTGGCCGGCAGAGCTCCTCTGACAGCGGGATAGCGACTGGCAGCCACTCCTCTTATTCGGGAAGCTTCTCTTCCTACGCGGGGAGCCTCGACATTTGCCACGGGGATGAGTTTGGGTCCCTGCTGAGTCTCTCACTCAGCTTCCCTTCTGACCGGAATGTTTGCAGCTGCCTGCCAGGGGAGCCGGGCAGGAGCCCCGGCCCGGAGTACCAGGCCCCCAGCTGGCTCCGGCACACCTACGATACACCCCGAAGTTTGCTCGCGGCATCTACAACAGGTATCCTCGCCTCTGCTGCGGACGCCGGCCTGTCCAAGGCCCAGACCTCCAAAGGGGACGTGAAATGGCCAGCCCCACATCTGGAGAGGGATGCCGCCTCCAGGCCAAGCCAAGACAAGGACCCGCAGGGCGTCTTCCCACTGGGAAGCACCAAAGGCTCCTTTCCGGAGACACAGCTCAGGGAGCTGGTCCAGGGCCAGGACTGGAAAGGGCCCGAGGTTGTTCCGTGCGCCTCCAGAAGTTCTTGTGAACTGTGCAGCTCCCCTTCCGAGGCGAAACTGGCTCTCTTCCCAGCTTGCCCAGTCTGTGGCGGGATACAGGTAAACCGGTGGCCGGCAGCTCATCCTGATCTTGTTTGGAATCTGTGCGCAACCGGTGTGTGTATTTGTTCTGACCCACGCCCTTTTCCGACAAATCAAACACAATTCAAAAGGAACAAAAACCTAATTATTTTACCAAAATAATTAGCTGTGATAAGCACAAGCCTTGCCAAACTGTGCGAGACTTGCCAAAAGATAACAGACAAGAAATAATTTGCAATACAAGAATCTTCAAATACAAACTCAGGATACTGGAATGTCCACGAGGCTGGAGGTTCAAAATGTCTTCTTTTTTTTTAATAAAGTTTTATTGAGTTTTAACAAAACAAATAAAACATCTTATTTGAGTGCAGCATCGTTCCAGGTTATCACATTTCCATACAGACACAATTTCATATGCATATTCATCTTATGTATTCAACTTCATATCTTATTACTCTTTTCCCAACTTCTCACTATTTCTCCCTTTACTTCTCTTAATTTTCTTTTATGGTTATCTCATTTTTTTCTTATTCCATTGTATTTCTTTTACCTAAATTTCTATATCTTTTTATTCATTGGACTTATACTTTCATCTGTCTTGTTTACAATTTCATATGTTCCAACATTCTTAAGAAACAAAATTCCCCCTATGATTGCCAATCGAAGTGCAACACCTTTAAATCTTATTGTTATTATCATATGAAATCTCATTAAACATTGAATTTGTGCATTCTAAAATTATAACATTCAAATTTCTAATATCTATTTTATATCATGCAGATCTCATCATTCAGATTCTGCTTGGTACTTCCCCTTGAAAATGTAAAAAGAAAAATTCTAAAAACATAGCAAAAACAATGCACACACACACACACACACACATTAGTAAACAAAATAGTTATTCAAAATCATTCTAGTACCGGTATGAACCTTGTAAATCTTTCACGTTTCTTTTCAATATCTATCAGTCTTTGAGAACAATTGAATGTTTCCCTCCCTTCTTCATTATTACTTAACTATTAATAAGCATACCATTGGATAGTCATACAGTTTTATCTTATAAATTATTTACTATTAATAAGCAAAATAATTACTCAGATTCATTCTAATAACTGGTATAAATTTCCCTATAAATCTTTCACATTTCTTTTCAATATTTTATCAATCTTTAGAAACAATTGCAATGTTTCCCTCTCTTCTTTATTATTGCATTAATTATAAATAAACATACCATTACATAACAATACAGTTTTATCTCATAGATTATTTACTTATTTCATTTCTAACTCATTACAGTATTCTACTGTCACAACACTATCTTTTGTAGCTTTGCAGAATCGTCACTTTTAACTTAATTTAACCATTGTCTCTGTTTTCTAGCTGAGCAAATACCTTTAATCCTAGTACGTTTCCTCTTTTTCTTTATTTCCTGTTTTTGTCCCTCATAAGTTCTTTCCCTTTCTATCTTTCCCCCCTTTTTCTCATCCCTTTTTTTATACTCTTCTCTCTCTAATTTTCCCTTCTGTAGTTTTCTTTTCTGCTTCTCCTTGCTGTTATACTTCTTTTTCAGACTATTTTTCTTTTTGGCTGTTCCCTTTGATCTCAAACTTTTAACTCCTTTCCCCCTTTTCCCCCTTTTTACCACACTTTGCATTATTTGATCATTGAAAATGGCTTCTTCTTTGTCCCGCCCTTCTTCTTGCTCTTGAAGCTTTTCCTTTTGCTTTTCATAGTTCAGGATCTCCATTTCAAAAAATTCAAATACGAAGCCAAAGGATCTTCCTCCCCTTTCTGCATCTTCTTTCTGTTTTTTAAGATTTCTTCAATTCCTCCAGGAGTGATGGCATTTTAAACACTTTTGAACAACCACCCGATTGACTTTAAGTAAAAACAGAAAAAGAAAGAAAAAACCAATGCCCCAAACTTTTTTTTAAAATCACCAAATGATCCCAGACTGTTCCATCTTGTTTCTTTCCTTTACTTTTCCTTTCCGTGGGTTACTGTATCTTTTAATAAGATTTCAGTTGCAATGTATCCTCGGGAGTCTTTTCAAAGTTTCACTGTTAATCCTCTTTATTTTTCCAGGTGGCACTCCATTTTTCCATTATTCCAAGTCCCACCCTTTTGCCTCCACTCTTCTCCTTTTTAGGGCTTTAAAATGACCAAGAAAAAAATCTTTATTCTCCTTTTGACACTTAGATTTCAGCTTAAGGTTGCCTATTAGTGTCAAAATAGATTAATATAAATTTCTTTCCATACCATTTGTAATCGTCAATATAAAGGTTAAAAAAGGGGGTTTTAACCTCCTTTTTTCTCTCTTCGCCACTTAAAGATCTTCTTTCAGAAGTATCCCTCTAGGTACTTTTAGATTCAGGGCACCTTGCTTAGATGTTCTCTGTTGTTTAGCCCGGTCTGTCCTGCTTTTCTCTTTGTCTTCCTCCTGCACAGTCTTATCCAGTCGGGTTCTTCTTTGAGGTGGCCATTTCTGACCACCGCTGCAACCGTCTTCGGGGAAGGGAGTTTAGACCAGCCAAGGAGGAGAGATGCGGCTCCCCTCTACTCGGCTGGCAATCTCCCCACTCTTCACCACCTCTACGGGGTGGCTTCAGCCCCGAATCCAAAGGATCGGGGTGCTCCAGCGGCGAGCACAGATTGAAACTGCGCACGATCGCGGATTTTGGTCTGTTGCTGAAGAGACCCAAATTGGAAGTCAAAACGTCTTTGCCTTCTGCAAAGTACGTTCGTTTCCCAGCTGGCTTCTATCTTCTTGTAGGAGGGGCCATTACCTTGCAGCCTTACTCCCGAATCGCCCATGCTGCTGCAGCTGCTCTTTCCTACAAGCAATCCTGCATGCATGCACACTTGGCACAGGCTCCTCGGGAACCTCCTCATCACTGCTGCCAGCCCCCACAATCTCTGAAGGCAGCAGTCCTCTCCCTAATGGTCCTGGCCCCTCATCTGAGTCCTCGCTCTCCTCAGCCGTCTGCACCTGCTGCTGGCTAACCACAACAGTATTTGAATCCAAAACCTTCTTAGCTTTCTTATGCATCGACCACGCCTGATAAAATGACCCATCTGGTTCTTCAGATTTCCAGCATCCCTTCAACGCAGGGCTCCCTATCCGCAGGTTTGTGAACCGGTACCCAGCCAGGGCAAACTAGAAACTGGGCTGCACAAACGATCAAACCGCCATCTGCGGGATGGAGGCAGCTTTTAAAACCATATCAGCTCCAGTCCGCGGACAAACCTCTCCACAGAACCGGTCCCTGGTGTACAAAACATTGGGGGCTGCTGTTTTATACAGTGGAACCTCTGGTTGTAAATGCTTCTGTCCACGACCAAATTGGGTGACGGCCAGAATTTTCGGAAAAGTTTGCCTTCTGGTTGTGAACACATCTTTGGGTGGCGACCAAACACAGCCACAGTGATTTTCCCTGACATGACAATTTTTCCTTCAACCCCAATTATTTTTTGTCCCTGCATGCACAGTCAGTCGTGCTTCCAGCCACGACCAAATCAGGTTGCCACCAAAGTCCTGGAATGGATTATGGTTGTGACCCAAGGTTCCACTGTACCTTTATACACTCTAGACCAGGGGTCTCAAACTCAATTTCATTGAGGGCTGCATCAGGGCTGTGGTTGACCTTGGGGTGGGCGTGGCCAGCTTGACGCCATTCCCTGGGTGTGGCCGACTG